GGTGAGTCAGGTGATGTGGTACCTGTACTCTCAGGTGACAGGTGAGTCAGGTGATGTGGTACCTGTACTCTCAGGTGACAGGTGAGTCAGGTGATCTTACGTGTTGATGAGGCAGATCTTAGCCTGGCAGTTCTCCTCTCCTCTGCTGAAGACCGACCCATCTGTCGTCAAACGGTCCTTCAGGATGTTGAACCTGCAACACAGAATCCATCAGAGGCGGTTCTGATGGTTTCAGGAAGTCTTCCTGGCGCGCTCGCTCACCACTTCTTGCGACATTGGAGCCAGGACCGGGTCTGGACCTTCTCGCTGATGGGCTTCCAGGGCAGGTTGTTGAAGAGCTGGTTTCGGCTCAGACCAGATCCCGGCGGGTCCTGCTGGATCTGAGTCTCATAGTAGTCCTTGACCGCCCGCTTCAGCCGTAGCTCCTCCTCCTCGGTCCAGTAGCCATGATTTGAATCTGGACATGAACAACACGGGTCACGTGACGGGTCCAGGCCCGCGAGGCGAGCGGGTCGGAGGTTGGGCTCTTACCGAGGGTGGAGAAGCGTTTCTGCAGAGAATGGTTGCTGCGGTCCATCTTCTTGGAAATCGTAGCCCAGTTGTTGCCGTGGATCCGCTGGAGCTTTTTGAGACACTCCACCTCCTCCTTAGAGAACCTGAAGGGACATGAAGACAAGGTCGGACCTGGTTGTACATCAGGTTCTGTTCTGAGAACGTGAGCCGTGGTTCCGTGTCTCACCTGCCCACCCGATTGATGTCATCCAGGAGCTTTAAGGCCCGAGTGTAAACAACACTCACTGGACGAGGAATTCCCTCTGCTGCACAGAGACAGTGAGACAGAGACAGTCAGACAGAGACAGTGAGACAGAGACAGTCAGAGACAGAGTCAGTCAGACAGAGACAGTCAGACAGAGACAGTCAGACAGGGAGACAGAGACAGTGAGACAGAGACAGTCAGACAGAGACAGTCAGACAGGGAGACAGAGACAGTGAGACAGAGACAGTCAGACAGAGACAGTCAGACAGAGACAGTGAGACAGAGACAGTCAGACAGAGACAGTCAGACAGAGACAGTGAGACAGAGAC